CAAACAGGCACATTTCATGCCCTGCAGCGGACTACCCTCAGCCCGCCAATTGGCCAAACTGTTCGTAAAACACATCTACCGCCTGCACGGAGTATCCAGAAGAATCATCTCCGATCGAGGTGTCCAGTTTACAGCGAAGTTCTGGAGGGAATTCCTTCGATCCATAGGATCATCCCAAGGCCTCAGCTCAGCGTTTCACCCGAGCACCAATGGGGGGTTGGAGAGGTTGAATGCCATGATAGAGCAGTACCTGAGGTGCTATGTTGACTACCAACAATCGAACTGGGTGGACCTCTTATCGTTTGCGGGGCTCGCATATAACAATGCTGTCCACAGTAGTACGGGACTAACCCCATTTAAGATAGTGAACGGCATCGATTTCGTCCCCATGCCAGAGTACCCAAGGGAGCCTCCTTCCTCAATTACCTTGACCGAATGGATGGCAATGCTGAGAGAAACCTGGGAGAACGTCAAGAGGGCATTAGACAAGGCAGCACGGTCTTATAAGAAACAAGCAGATAAGCACCGAGCCCCCCCCAGAGGCCGTTCCAAGTAGGGGAGAAGGTCTACCTCTCCACCAAGTATTTAAGACTCAGACTCCCGACCAGAAAACGGGCTGAAATTCATAGGACCATTTCCAATAGTAAAAATAATCAACCCGGTCACAGTACAATTGCAGTTGCCCCGGTTACTAGGGAGGATACACCCCATTTTTCACAGTAGCCTCCTGAAGCCTGTGGTAGGGTCAACTTTAAAGCCGGTGCCACGTGATCCCCCAGGGCCCTTGATTGTTGGAGGCCAGACCCACTATGAAGTACAGCAAGTTCTCGATTCGAGGTGGCACAGAGGGCGCCTCCAGTACTTAATTAAGTGGAAGGGTTACCCCTTGTCAGAAGCTTCCTGGGTGAAGAGCACAAACATCCAAGCTGACCGCCTCATAGCTAAATTCCATGCAGATCACCCGGACAAGCCGGGAGGAGGTGGGGTACACCCTCGGACTGGGTAAGGTACTAAACTTGTTGTTTATCTCACGCAGACCTCACGGACAGAGTGAAGGGAGAGGGGCCGGATGTCAGTGCCTCAGCGCTGACATAGAAAGGGAGATAAGCCCTGGACTTTTGCCTGCTAAATCCCTTTGAAGATCAGTCTCCGTGGAAATGAAGAGGGGGGAAACATTCCTGTGAAATGAGACAAGAAGTCAGAAGAGTGACTTGGAAGATAGCCAATGAGAACCAGAGAATTGGGGATCAGAAAGGGAGGGATTGGGGGGCAAAAGGTCAGTCTTGTCTGCACGAGTCATGATCCGGTTGCTGTACTCGAATAAAGAGAAGATTTCCTTAAAGATTGGCAGTTTGGAAATTCATTTATTTTGAGATAGCATCGAAGTCTGACATTAACTATCAAAGCTCGTTCTTGTTTTCTAATCTCTTCTTCTAATTTCTTTTTTTTTCCCCCTGTTCTTTTCTGTACTTATTATTCAGATATATCAAAATACCTCGCATATATGCTTTACTTGCATCCCACACCATTTCCATCGATGTACCCTTTTGCATATTCATTTCAAAAAATTCTTTCATAAATTTTTTACACTCTTTAACGTTTTCTTCATATCTAAACAAATTATCGTTTAACCTCCAGGACCTGCTAAGCCCCTTTCCATACTCCAGTTCCATCCAGACTGGACTATGATCTGTCAATGTTCTTGCACAAATCTTCGTATTCTTCACCCTGGAAAAGAGGTTGTTAGTAATTAGTATAAAATCAATCTTTGAAAAGGATTGATGTCTATCCGAAAAAAAAGTATAATCTTTTTCTTCTGGGTTTCTTTCACGCCAAATATCCCTCAACTCCCAATCATCCATCATCTCCAAAAACGATTTGGACAATCTTGCTTTTGCTGAAACATTTTGCTTAGGTCCCTTCTTGTCCTTTTTAACATCCAAAACACCATTCCAATCACCCAATAGGATACAAGTTTTATATCCCCACTGTATCAACTTGGAATGTAGCAAGTTATAAAAAAATTTTCTGTTGTTGGTTCGGGGCATATACTCCAATTAAAAGTACTTTTTCTCCCTTTATTAAAAGTACAGTTGCTAAGAATCTTCCTTGATCAACTGCTTCAATTAATTTAGCAATTAAGTCTCTTTTCAGATATATAACTATACCATTTTTCTTCTCTGGTGCTGTTGCTACATAATGTGTACCTAATCTTGTATTTATTAAATATTTTTGGTCTTGTATCCTAATATGAGTCTCTTGTAAACAAATTACATCATTTTTAAATTGTTTAAGCTAGCGAAATATTTTCCTCCTCTTCTGTGCAGAATTCAAACCATTGACATTCCAGGTTAAAAATCTAGTTCCCATGTTTGGGCCTCTGAAGCATTTGGAGCATTTGCTGATGGTCTTGCCTCATTTGACTTTTAGGTGTAGCTCCTCCCACTGCTTCTGTTTTTGTAGTTCCTTGAGTTGCCATCTGGAGTTGTTGCTGTCTTAATTCTTCCTTGTGTTTAGCTGTTGCTGCTCTGGTCTGTCTTTGATCCTTTGGTTCTTCTGGTATATCAATTAAATCAGCAATCTGGATTTGTCGCAAATCTTCTTGACTGGTCGAGCCCCCCCCCCTGGACTACTGTCATCAGCTCTTCTCTCTCTGCTTCCATTACTTTCTTTTTTCTTTTAACTTCTGGTGATTTTGGTGGCCCAGCCTTTAACACGTTGGCATAGAAGTCTCTTGCTTTCCATACTGTATTAAGCCGGTATCTCTCACCCGAATAGTTCACCACTAGGCCGGCTGGCACTTCCCATCTATACTGCATTTGGCGTTTTCTCAGTTCATCCACCAGGAAGGCATATTACCTTCTGGCTCTCAACATTTTTGGGGGGATTTCTTTCATTGTCATCACCTCCTGGCCTTCCACTTGAAGCTTCTTATTAAAGGTGGTCTGTAAAATTTCATTATGTAATCTCCTTGTGGTAAAGTATATTACAATGTCTCTTGGTAAATGTTTCTGTCTGGCCACCCACGAATTAATGTGATATATCTTGTCAATCTGCCAGCCTAACTCCACTTTCTGCTCTCCCAACATCTGTGCCAATGCCTCTGACATCATCTCTTTCAAATTCTCTTGTTTGTTCTCCTTCACCCCTCTTATTCTTAGAGCAAATTCCATATCCCTGTATTGAATCAATATGACATCATTTTCAGCCCTTTCAATTTTGTTCTGAGTATCTCCTAATTTATTGTCCAAAATTTCAGTAAATTGCTTAATTTCTTCAACCTTATCATCCAAAATTTCAATGTTACCTGCTAAACCTTTAAATGCCAGTATTATATCATCCCTAATCTCATCTGAAACAGTCTGTATTTTTTCATTAGTTTCATTACTTTTTTCATTAATCACAGTAGCAATTTTTTCCTGTGTAACTTTTAGGACTTCTTGTAGCATTTCAGACGTTTAAAAAATCTGTGGATCTGTTGGGGGAACAGAGGCTTGCGTTCTAGAAATATGGGCTGGAGAGCTTCCGGCACTCCCAATTCCTTTAATAGGAGCAGACTTTACAGGTTTTGAGGCCATTTTTCAGTTTAAGTTAATCTTTATATTTTAATCAGAAGCCAAAAAGAAGTGTTCAACAAAATCAAAAATTTTCCCAGTCTTAAATTGATGTCTTAAAATCCTCCTTCTCTCAGTACAAAATTTTTCCAAGCAAGAGGCTGTCAGCGTAACGAAACTTTCCTGTAACTTTCACTTTCCACGCCCTCTCAAGCCTCAATCGCCATCTTGTTGCAAATTTACTAAGTTGTTATTTCCGAATGAGGTAATGATCAATGGAGTTAAGTTTAAATACTTGCAGTTTGAATTCTCCTGGCTCGTTCTGCCTGCAGCAATTTAAAATGTTGGAAATCCCCTCAGTTGCATTTGCAGAATTGGTCGCGGCGCCTTGCTCTGCTAATTAACAGAGTTGTCCCAAGTCCGGAGCAGATTGACAGACTTCTAGGGAGCTCTCACCCTTCGCGCCCCAGAATTTCTCCTAGGGCGCTTGGGGAGCTCTACCTCCACCTGTCAGCTCTCTCTCCCCTTTGCCCGGGGAGACAGTTTCCAAGTCACCAGACAGCTGTTTTTCGGCTGTTCTGGCAGCTTTTACGATCCCGGGGATCGGGCGCTCAGGGAGGAGCGTCTTCGACGCGTGCGGAGCCAACCGGAAGTGGTTAAAGATTGTTTTGAAAGATGTATCTTTGTTTCAGTTATCTTATTTTCTTGTAGTATGAAGGGCTGTAATATGAATAAAAATATCAACTATTGAAAATGACTGGATAATTTGAAAATAACATTAAATATATTTTGTGTATTTAATGCTACCCTTATTATGCTTCCTTCATCTTATCTTTATGGTTCTCAATGGTTCTCAAATTGGAGTACATCCACTTGTGCAAGAGAGATTTGATTTTTCTATTGGAGAGATTTGAAAACAGTCCAGAAATAGGTGATAATTTTATCTTTCCATAAGATAAAATTAGCAAACAATACCAATAGATGCAAATGAAATGTAATATCATTTATCCCCTCACTGGTGTCACATCTCTTTAGGAGAGCTGTTTTAATTATGGCTCTTTGTGTATGGCTTTAAGAAGAGTCACTATTTTAATGGAATAGTTGGAACAATGTCCAGTCTACATATCTAAACCATGCTATTATTTTATTTATAATAAATGCTTCTATGTTGCTTCCTTTATTTGACTTTTAACTCCTACATGCATACGTGTAAAAAGATCTGTCTCTTTTATCATGAAATCAATGAATGGTTAGTTGGGGATGTATTGAAAAGACCTATAAGACAAAATAAGTAGGGAATGGAGCATTAACTGTGTCTAGTAACACAGAGGTTTACTGAGGCAAAACTAAAATGAAATGAATTTCATATATAATTATTTTTAAATTGGAATTTAATTAGTGAGAATTACTTGATTTTTTTTAATGTTCCTATGTATTTGTTCATAGTTCTTGCCAGTGTACATGCACATCCGTGTTTTGGTTGCTGCGTATCTATTCCAAACAGGCTATGGACATTTCTCATACTTTTGGATTAAAGGAGATTTTGGCATTTATAGAGTGTGTCAGGTAAGAAACTTATATATAACATTCAAGATTGACTACAGTCATAAAATTCAATTATTTCCTAGGTAAAGTTCTATATTTGGTACATTCTTGTAACATCCATTGAAGCTGTGCAAAGAATAATGTCTTTATCTCTAAACCAGTTGTCCCTCTGTTGTAGCAAGGTTTCGGCATAGATTCAAATTCATCATTAGTGCTAACTTGGCTTGTGTGAATGGTGGATCTATTCTTACTGTAAGTTAAAGCTTACAGCTTTACACCATCTCAGAATGCCTAAACTTTTGTATTTATTGGGGGGAACTTTACACAGCTGTGCCTTTTAGAAAAGGACTTTCCTTCAATTCCATATTGAGATAAAAAATTATGAAAATGGAAAGACTTTGTTCTCAGCCTAATAAAATTTTAAGCAACTATTTTATAAAACTGGTAACTGCAGACTGTCTCTTTTTCAGAAAGAAAATTCTGCCTCCTTCCCAAGCATTATAAAGCTTAGAAAAAAAAGACTCTAGTTTCTAACCTAAAGTTCAGATAAACATATTGGTTCCAAGTTTTAAGTTGCCTGTTAGAATTCTTGAATCATTATTTTCAACCAAATAAAATTGTTATGAAATGTCTAGCATTAAATAATAAAAACAACAATAACAGAAGCAACACTACATATGCATCTGGACCAAAAAAAGATGGAAAAGAAAAAAAATCAAAGAAAGATTTTGGATCTTGTGGCTTACCAAGATGCTACTGGAAACAAGAAGATGACAAAATTGGCAGAACCACTCAGTGATATCAAAGAAGGGAGTTCTCTGGAGCCATTCACTATTTGAGAACTGGCTCCAAAACTACTCAGAACCATGCACCATGTTTAAGATTGATACTTGTGTCAGAAGGGGGGCAGGTTTCAATTTTTTCCCCCTCCCAACTGAAGGCTTACCAACTAGAGGAAAACTGCAATATGACAAGTTTGCAGAGAAAGCTGGTAGTGGACTAGATGAGATAGGGAAGATGTGGACCATTGTGATGTGTGGATTTGATTTTTTCAGTCTTAAGGATAGTGATAGAGAAGATAAAGTTTGAGAACCAAGCACACCAATAATAGTGATTGCCTATCCCTCCCAACAAGAAGAGCCATGGAGAAGTTTCTTCCACATCCATGGCCACAGGAAAAAAAAATATTGGACCAAAAATGTTACTCATCTTGTAATGACTTGCCCATTATATCCCATCATAGTTTCAATCTCTTAAAGGCTATTTACAACCAAAATGCAAGTCTTAACTATTTTTATTTAAAAGCAAACCATATTAAATTACAGAAAATTTCTGTAAGATCTTTATTTTAGCATCCAGTTTATCTCTTAAGTTCTTTGGGCAGAGATTTTTTTTTTACTTTGCTAATTTAATTTTGCTAATGAGAACCCAGATTGTGGGGGCAATAAGCTGACTTTGTATAAATATACAAAAGTATGAAGGCTATTGCTTAACGCATTGTAAGCTGCCCTGAGTCTTCAGAAAAGGGTGACATATAAATTAAAGCAAAAAAAAAAAAATCCTTGTGAGTGCAATTTGTATGTTCTTAACTGCAAAATGGTTAAGTTGGAGAACATGGAAATTGCTCTATGGACATAAGTCAAAATACTAAGCTACAAATTTCAGCTTATATTCCAATGTAGACATTTCATTTATTAAAATAGAAAGGTGCATCATTTCAGATGATACACATTTAATAACAAGATCTTGTTTCTGTTTTTCTTTACCATGCACAATGTATCAGGCCCTGTAATTGTAGATAACAAAATTGATATGATCAATGTGTTTCTAAATTTCTAATCATTATCTGGTTCTACTAATTAAGGTGTTCCCTTTTCAAGGTAGAATATACTGTTTTCATGTCATAGAGTGATTTTCAGTAGCAGAGCACAGAGAGCTTACTATCTGTGAGTTATCTTATTTTGCTCTACTGTCATTCCCCAAAATAAGTGAGCTGGTATATTAATTTTCATTCCATTATTTTACTATTCAAGTGTTATTAGTTAATAAGTTTTAATGTTAAGGTCCCTGCATAGCAATAGGAATTGTGGGAAATACTTTCAGCACTGGCAGTATAACCAATCTTAAATTTCTTTGTTGAACTGGAATTCTGCAAATCTGCTTTAAGATTTAAACTAAATCTATCGCAAAATATCAGAGATATTTTGCCTAGATCTAAAAATCTATAATTTGAATCTATATTCAAATTATGAATGCAGACTCCTGTTGGTTAAACAAGAAAATGTTCTATTAGGGAGCTTTAGAGGTTTTTTAACTGAATTTTAACTCAACTTTTTTAGAGCCTGTTACAAAATTGTTACTCATCTAAATTGTAATAGAAGTAATCTAAACTACAAATGTGCTTAAAGTAGTCTGACACTTCTGGTGAAATTACAATCAGATTAAGATTATATTAAAATGTACAGATAAATTTATTTAATATTTCATTTACGTACTTTTCTCAATATTAACAGGTTTTGTTTCGACTGAACTTCCTGGTTGTGGTGCTATGCATTGTAATGGATCGATCTTACCAATTCTATTACTTTGTTCCTCTAGTCACTTTCTGGTTTTTAATCATATATATTACATTAGCTCTGTGGCCTCAAATCATCCTGAAAAAAGCCAACGGTAAATATTTCATTTTACACCAAAAAAACTGTTAACATAGCTAACAATCACCATCTAATACTCAACTATTTTTCTACCAGCATTTGAATATCTTAAAAATTCTCTATTCATTTTTCCATCTTTGCTAAATAGGAATTTACTAAACGTTATGTATGTGGCTCTTTTTGTGCACAAAACAATTGTTTTCAGGTAGTCTTGGCCCAAACCAAAAATATATATATGGAGTAAAACAAGCTTCTTACCTTTGATATAATTATCATAGAAGTAGTTCAAGGCTGTAGAAAATTCCAGTTAAAAGGTTTCATTGGAGATGGTATGATCAGATATTGATGGTTATGATGATTGCTGAAGGGAGTGTCTGGAGGGAAAGTACTGGGAAGATTGGAGATGGGAGTGGGGGAGGGAATCTGACATACAGATGATGTGCTACAGAAAGGAGGCAGCATGCATACAGTGCTCTCTTGTAGCTCAGTATATAGTTGTCCAAATCTTACTTAGTTGTTCAAAATCTTATCTTGTCCAATCTCTTACTTAAGAGAGTTATTCAATGTACTGACCTACTCACAGGATTTACATAATGTTACTTACTATATTAAAAATAATACTGATTTTTTCTCTAAAAATGAATAATAATTTCTCTTCACTGTTGCTTTTCTACAGGTAGTTTCTTCTGGCATTCTGGCTTGCTGTTAAAATTAGGATTCCTGTTTGTCTGCATTTATTTTTTAGCATACTCTGAGGTTTGTATTGAACTTTAAGTGTGATAGAATACAAATTTCAACCTTGAATTAACACTTAAGTGAAAGAATTCACAATGTTGGAACAGGCAAGGTAACAAACTAGTGTGTCTGAAAAGAACAAGGTATTTTTGTTGAAAACAATATGCTTTTGGCATTACGCATTAACCATTTTATGACAATTTGGGTGTTGAAATGCCTGACAATCCAAAAACGTGCATCTGTTTTCATAATGCACATTAGTTAGTCTATGCTCTTTAATTATGGAGAGAGGGTGTTAGATATTTAGTTTTAAAAGCTTTTATGTTTTTATTTTTCTGCATTTACTATTAGTAAACATGGTAGTAGAATATTAGGAACAAAAATGTTCTAAAGAGAAGTCAGGGGAAAGAATATTTGGATGTTTTATGAAGGATGTGTGTGTGCATACACATATAAGGAAACAAACAAAACAAAGCACATTCTGAAATAACTACAAGAATTGCCAAACCACCACAAACAAAAGCATACCATGGAGTTTATAGACTTGTGACCTGTACTAAATTTTTCAGTATTTCTGGATAAATATGACCCAAAATGATCTATTCTTTATATGTCCTAAATAAACAAGTATAATTTTTGACCCATTTCTTTAATTGGGTTCCCTTAATCTAGTTTTAGGACTTGTCTGGAAAATATAAAGGATGAATGTTGTCATAAAATCAAAAGAGTGTGCACACTTATGCAATCAGATTGTTGTATGTTTTTATTCTCTTTCCCCCTAAAAAAACTTAAATCTATTTTTTTATTGTATAGCTTATGTGTTATATCAAATGTGGGGGAGAAATCTGAAATGATTTATCTTGGTCTTATTTTTTTACATCTTGAAAATCTTAATGGGTGTGTGGACTTTTAATATCAACTGCATGATGAAGTATGGAATCTTGTATTTTCATCTAAATATATTTCTACTCACAGAAATTGAGTATTTGTGTCAGATGACCTAGTACTGTAACATAGCTGTTGTGTGCATATTTGTTTGTTTCTTACAGGATCTATTTGAAAAGGTTTTTTCTATATGGCCATTGTCCACATTTTTTGAACTAAATGGGAGCGTCTATGAATGGTGGTTTAGATGGAAATTAGATCGATATGTATGTATTTTTTAAATTTTTCATATATATTTTAATGTGATCTTACCATAGCTATGCTCTTATTATGTTTGAATTATAATTTCAGTTTCAAAGCAAAATAAAATTTTAAGAAGGGAACAGAAATTTAATGTCCAAATATAATGTTAAATTAATGTTTGCTAAATGCTGAGATAAAATAATATTCTTTTGTTTTACAGGTTGTTTTCCATGGAATGTTGTTTGCTTTCATTTATCTAACTTTTCAGAAAAGACAGGGGCTCTCTGAAGGAAAGGGAGAGCCACTCTTTCCTACCAAAGTTTCAAATATTTTCTTATTTATTTCAGTAGTGTTTTTTCTGGTAAGTTTGTAAACTGTGATAGCTAAACACTGTTTTTATTAAATTGGAGACTTAAGTGACATGTGATCAAGAATATCTGCTAACAGACACTTATAGACTTGCCTGGAAAGGGACAATTAGTGTTTTAAATTTGAATGATTACAAGGATATTTATCTCATTGGTGAATACAATATCTGTTTTCATAAATAGTTGAAAAAATAATTGCTTTATTTGGTTCATAACTTTGTTTTATATTTGTAGACCTATTCCATCTGGGCAAGTAGTTGTAAGAATAAAACTGAATGCAATGAAATGCATCCTGTTGTTTCAGTTGTGCAGGTAATTATATTCTCTGCCATATCTATGATTAAATTGAAACATATAGCTAATAAAGCATGAAGTATTATATTTTGTAAAGCAAATTTGAACTCGTATTCACAAAGAAGAAAGCAGGGCCAAATTAATTACCGTAGTAATTAAGAATTTTGTTGATTAGTGGAGCAGGGGTCCCTAACCCTCAGGCAGATTGTACTAGTCTGCGATCCATTGGGAACCAGGCCATGCATATGGCTGGCAAGTACACAAAACCTATTTGTGCATGCAAGGGAGCTAGGTTGTGTGCGGGAAACCTGTCCCTCTCCCACCGCTGCTTTGGAGTCAGAAAGGTTGGAGATCACTGCAGTGGAGTGTATAGCTGTTATACATATTTATAACAGACATTCCTGGTTAATTTTACTTTCATGAGACATAAATTATGGATTCTACCACTTAAATACTTCTAATCAGAGATGTGTAAAATGGGACATTTTAGCAGTGGATTATTCAGTGTTTTCTCATGAAATTTTATATTTATTCCCAAGACCATGTCAATATGAGCATTTTTACATGCTTCATGTTGCTCTGCAAAATATCATCTGGAATACCATCTGTGATGAATGTACTTCTGGAAAAATACAAATTATATCCATAATGCCAGTATTGGTGTATTACAGGGGCTAAATGAAATATTTTGGGAGTAAAATGAAAAAGTGCATATACCTGCTTTCAGTCTTCTCACAACTGTACAGAAAAATGTTTTGGATTTAAGATTTTTTTTTCTTTTGAATTAAGCCTGGTAGACATTGGAATAGGATTCTTTGGGATGTCTAGTAAAATCTTTGTTCCAAATTTCTTTTTTGTGTCATATGAAAGCCTCAAGAAACAATTGCATGCACTCTACTCTAGCATGATAATCATGCATATAGACACTTGCAGTCCTTTAATACTTAGCAATATATGTGACCCTGGAAATTGTTCACTGTGTGATGAACTCATCATGGCCTGAACTTAGCAATTTGTTGTAATTCAATTTATGACTAATAGATCCACATTTTTGAGGAAAGTATTTGTAAAGATATTCAGGTGTAGTTGTCATTTTTGAATATGATAAAATCTAGCAGTTTGCTTATGTATGTATGTATGTATGTATGCTTTGGTATGTTATTTTAATTTTCGGCTGTTCACTGCCCTGAGTCCCTTCGGGGAGAAGGGCGGTATATAAATTCAATAAATAATAATAATAATAATTATTATTATTATTATTATTATTATTATTATTATTATTATTATTATTATTATTATTCCTTGGTAATTTTCATGTTAACAGAATTTGAATTTCTTATACCATCAATTGGTTGTGTAACCTAAATGCATAGCATAAACTGACTATATTTTTTACATGGTACTTTATTTTTGTTTTTCAGATTTTAGCTTTCATCCTAATTAGGAATATACCCGGCTATGCTCGTTCAGTATACAGTTCATTTTTTGCATGGTTTGGCAGAATTTCTCTTGAGGCAAGTAGCATTACAAAGTTACAGTTTTAAACCTGAAACATCTAAATTGGGTGTAATAAGAATTCATTAATAAAGCATCATATAGCAAGCATGTAAACTCCCCAAAATCTGGATTATTTATTTATTTATTTATTTATTATATTTCTATACCGCCTTTTTCCCGTAGGACTCAAGGCGGTGTACAGTCAAGAAAAATATAGACACACAAACATCATAAAATTGCTAATTAAAATTATTACTTAGTTTGGTCAATTAAATAAAACCCAGAATTAGATAACATTTAAAAAATCATTCACATGTTCGTATGTTTAGCCCCGCCTTTGGAACATCAGGGTCTTGAGGGCACGGCGGAAAGCACAGAGATCAGGGATATTCCGTATCTCCGGGGGCAGTTCATTCCAAAGGGTTGGAGCCCCCGCAGAGAAGGCCCTCCCCCGGGAGTTGCCAGTCGACATAATTTGACTGACGGTACCCTGAGTAGTCCCTCCCTGTGAGAACGAACTGGTCGGTGGGAGGCTATTGGTGGCAAAAGACGGTCTCGTAGGTACCCAGGTCCTAAGCCATGGAGCGCTTTAAAGGTGATAACTAACACCTTGAATCGCACCCGGAAGACCACCAGGAGCCAGTGCAGCTCGCGTAGGAGAGGTGTTACATGGGCGTAACGAGCTGCGCCCATAATCACCCGCGCGGCTACGTTCTGGACCAGTTGGAGCCTCCGGGTGCTTTTCAAGGGGAGCCCCATGTAGAGAGCATTACAGTAGTCCATACGGGAGGTATGTTCTATATTGACTTTAAAATACTCCTCCTAGATTGTAATTTTTAATGTGATGCAAAACAAAGTAAAGTAAAATAGAATTAAATGAAAATTCGTGTTTTACTTGGCTATCCTATCTTTACCTGGCATCTCATCCCATTGTTTTGTCCCGATATTTTTTCTAAAGATGAAGTATAACCATCAGGTCTTGTAGCCACATGTAAAATTGAGCAAAAATGGACAATTTTGAAAGGAGTGTCATGTAGCATGTTAAAAATCTATCCTTAGGCATCCAAGCCTCCCGAATTACTTGGCTGATGTTTCATTCTGTCATTGCAACAAACGTCATCACATGGCTTATGTGGTGAAAATCGCAGAATATTATTGGGTTCCATTGACACAACTAATATATAGTAAAAGCAATACCAATTAGACTTATTTACCACTTCACACTGCATTACAGCCTCTCTAAGCATTTAGAGTCCACATATTGCCCCCAACAGTCTGAATCCTTATTTTACCAACCTCGGAAGGATGGAAGGCCGGTCAGGATTGAACTGCTGGCAATCAGCAGAATTAGCATGTAATACTGCATTCTTAAGTGCAGTATTACAGCACCATGCGGTGGTGAAATTATGATTTTTTCCCCCTTTGTACAAAAGAATTTAGATTTGATTTTCACTGTGAATAAAGAAACCAATTTATATTCCAGCTTGAATAAAAGTCACCAACCCTTACTAGAGGAAGTTTGCTTTTTCATCATTTGGTAGAGTAGAGATGATGCTTTGCTGCTATAGACATACTGTATTTTTTGGAATATAAGACGCACCTACCTTTTTTGGTGAGGAAAAGAAGAAAAAGAAATCTCCCTCTGCCTCTGAGCAATTTTGCCTCGTTACAGCAAACAGCCTGCTTTACTTTCATTTTCGTTTTCAGCATAGCTTGATTAGCACAAGGGAAAAAAAATCTGCTCCAGCAATTTACCTTTTGCAGCAAGCAGCAGAACCCTGCGCAAAACAGCTGAGAGCAAATCATCTGAGAGTCGGGAGGCTGATCTAATCGACTTGTGCTAATTAGGCTGTGCTGAAGCTGAAAGGAACTGTTTTTTCTTGCTGTTGGCTTGCAAGGAGATAACTTTTGTGAGGCAGAGGCCAAAGGGTGGGGTCCAGTCGGTGGGTAGGGCTACATTCGGTGTATAAGATGCACCTAAATTTTCACCCCCTTTTAGGGACGAAAAAGTATGTCTTATACTCCGAAAAATATGGTAATCTGTTTCACTAACTTTACAGTATATAGTAACAGTCCATGTGTTCAAATGTCTTACAGTATCAAATAGTTCTAATTCTTGTTATATTTTCTTTCCAGCTCTTCATCTGTCAGTATCACATCTGGCTGGCAGCAGATACAAAGGGAATCTTGGTCCTTATTCCAGGAACCCCCATGCTCAATATTATTGTCAGCACTTTTATATTTGTCTGTGTGGCTCATGAAATTTCCCAGATAACAAACGATCTTGCACAGATTGTTGTTCCAAAAGATAATGTAATGCTGCTGAAGAGGTTAATATGGGTATGTGTGTTTTTTTCCGGATTTATCTTTTTATCAATTTTTCAAAAACAGTGAAGGTGTTAAATTCCAGAAAATCCTTCAGTCATTGCTTCTGCTTCACTTTATATCTCCTGAATAAAATGAAAATCAACTGGAATTACATACTCTCTTAACTTTGTTTCTGTTCCTGAGGAGCAGAAGAAAAAGAAACATAGGAAGTACACTAAACATGTTTATGTTGCCTAAGGATAACATCCGTTCAGGAAAATAGGAATGCATTATTCCTATTGCATTCCTATTCCTCCCCAACTGTATGGGGAGAAAAAAAATTGATTTTTCTGCTGGAGGATTATTCTGTTTACAAATCTTTCTAAAATTAATGTAACGATCGAACAAAATGAGCTCAGCTAAAGGCATTTAAGACTTTTTATGGAAGCATTTCTTAAAATGATTAATAATTATTTACATCCTCTGTATGGAAAAACAAAACTGCTTATGCTGCAACAAATTACATAACCCACCTCTTGATGGCATTTTGAATTCCTGAAATCACAGAGAAATCATTGAAGACCATAAGGCTTCAACAGAGTACTGCATTGAATCTGGGAACAAAATGTCAGTAGTGATTTATTTTAAATTTCTGGATATGTGTATTATTTCTGGGGAGCTTCTCAAGAACTGAGGGATAAAAAGACACTGAAATATAATCTTAATGTTTACAAACTACATTTCAGTTCAGTAGATCTTCAGCAATTTCTCTGCATTTAATGATTGACATCCACTTTGAATACTTTGAGCAATCTTATGTTTCTTCCACTATTTATTTTTAATCAGTATTTTCAAGTCTCTAGTTTCAAATGTTAATTGGAAATTTAATATTTCCTGTGATTTTCTTCTGAATTCCCCTTTCCGGTATACTGCTGAGTTACATTTTACTTCAGTTTTCTTTTTTTTCATGAAAATAATTTCATTGGAACGAGATAACTCTTTATCTGACACACTTCTTCAAACAAGTTGGGCATTTAGCTGTGATTGTTCTGTGATTTCTGTAATAATTACTTTTTGGCTTGGGAGAAAGTTTTTTTATTCAGAATTTGCATGGACTGCATGAGAAGGACAAAAAAATTACCTCCTCAAATATAGGAATTTCAAAGCTATTTTACCAATCACTGTTTTAAAAGGGCTATAAAGCTGTTGTCATTTCTTTTTGAAATTAATCATGCACAACCCCATGCAAAATAGGTAGTTCAGGAATAGTATTATAAGGTTTTAAAATACAAAATGCTTCATTTTGTTTTAAATATACCCTTCAAATTCCATTAATATTTAGTTATATTCTCATAGTAGTATTTCTGTTCCTATTCCTAAGCATGCTGTGCAGATGTTAAATACTGTACGTAGTAATAGAATTGAAAGAAATAGTGTGACTTAATCTAAAAAAATTAAGTGAAATATGCCAGTTCTAATATTTTAATTCTGGCAATTTGGAGTGTGTTCCTGGGCAATTTGTAGTCAAAATAAGATTATAAGTAATTATTATCCAGTATACTAACATTTGTGTGGAATATGTAGATTCGAAGATGCATATTCACATTAAAATTTCATTCATAATTTTTAAAACTTATCCCTCATTGGCTTTCTATCAGTATCAGCTTCAGCACTAAGTTTGAGAACTGGAGCTTTGTGGTGAAATGGTGTGTGTAATCTACATTTTTTTTTTATTTTATTTTTTTGGCATTGAAAACTAAAGAGCATTTTGAGGTGCTTGGGGAAAGTTGTTTGGCAAAGAAATGTCTGCCCTTAAAAAAAAAGTAACACCTTAGGAGGTATGTTTATGGTATGTTCATTGGGGACTTAGCTTTGATATCAGTTGCAACATGTCTGTAATATGTCTGCATGTTGCATCCAGTTTTAGCACTTGAAGAATGAATAGACAGTATTGTTTTCTATGCATATGTGCAATTATAGGGCTTTTTATTTATTAGTGTGTTTTGATGTATGGAATTAGGAACTCTTATTTCCCATTGTAATTAGATTATACTGAACAATGGGAAAGGAGAAGAGGAAATCCCACTAAATAATAATAGGAATAATAGGTTTCAAACTGTTAAATGTTTGTTACATTAGCTTGTTGTGTAAGTCCTGTGTTTATCTGACCATTTATTTCAAAAGGTGTGAAAAGTTCTGTTTTATCATTAATGATCTGCATTTTTTTCTTCGGTTTTGTTTATCATGGATGTAATGGCTGGCAAGTCAGGAGTTGAATGTACAAAGGAGATCCAGTGAGAATTTTTGTTAGGATGGGAGTGTTTTGTTATGTTGTAATCTGAGTGCTATAGATATTTTATTTATCTGTTGTACAGATTTGGTTAAAGATTATTTTTTAAGTTTGAAATATTGCACTTGTTTGCTATATATTTTTTAAAGAATATATTTCAAAGTTATGTGAAAAATATGAAGTAATTTAAGATTTAAATAAATGTGGTGTAAGTGCTTATTTTTGTACTAAAGGAGCATCAGTTAAGTAAAGGAGTGTTATGTGTATGTGTGTCTTTTTTTAAAAAAAACTTTCTGAAGTTTTTAAAAAATCCCAGTCTTATCCTCTGACATAAAATACATGAAAATACTACAATATTACTCATACAATTTTTATGCAAAATATTGCAAATATATTATTAAACATAGACCCTTTCATAAAAGGGTCCAGTAAAAAATAGGACCTACTAATAGTTGTTTTGCTGTATATAATTTACAATTACTGTGTATCAGGTTTGCGGAAAAGGAAAATGGCCTTGAATTACAATCCCTTCATAGAAAAACTAGGGGGATGACAATAAGGAGCTGCATTTTGATACAAAGTTTCAATTAGGTTATGTTACACAAAAAATTGAAATAGTTTGAATATTATGTTGGAACAAAGCTTGAAATACCTTGAATGTTCCATGTCTAGAAAACAGCAACTCCTTTGTTTGCTCCTCATAGCTGTAGGAGTAAGAATGGTAGTGGTGCAAAATAATATACAAACAAAATTGTATAAAACTTTGTTGCTTAAATTTGGTTGAAAGAAATGTAAATATTAAACTACATCTCCACAGCAACCTGGAAAATTAGTTCTACTTTCACCCACTGAGAACTGATTTAGAATCTAAACCTTTCTTTAACAAAGAATAAAGGATCTTTTCACATTCTTCAACTAATCCTCAGGTGACTTGTCCAGATCATAGGACAGAGTGAATAGTTGTTTTATCATCACAAATTTTATGATGTCTCCATTGATCAGTTTTGTGTGGTTGTTAATCCTTAGTAGAATTCATCACAGAATAAGATGGCTAAAATGGCTGCTCAGTCACTATGGTGAGGTCAATTGTCTGCTTAAAGAAACAGGAATCTTCAAGCTTTCTGGGATGCCAAGAGCTTGAAAACCTGGCTCTGCCAGTTTGCCTGGGATATTCCAATGTGGACCGCCACACGGGAGGTGATTGTTAGATTAACAACAGATCCCACCTCCCCTTTTCTCATCCAATCCCCTCCCCCATCTTTTAATTATACTTGATAATTTGTACTTTTATAGTGCTTTATTTTTTATTATATTCATGTTTTTGTATTTTTATTATTTTTTTTAACATTGTAAGGTGCCCAGAATCATGTCATCGTGAGATGTGCAGCATTTAATAAATAAATAAAATAAATAATAGTGTATATCTCAGTTGTGGATCTTCATTTCTTGATCCATCTTTCTTAAATCAGCAGTGGTATATTTTCCTTCATTTTATTATTTGCATCTCCCTTCTATTTTCCAATTTTTGACATCACTTTTTTATCACTGCATTCTCAAGGAATGCAAGAAAGTTCTCTCTCACCATTCACCTGTAATTTTTGGAATAATAATTGATCTATTCCAGAATCTTTTACTCAGCAGATCAAATTTGTTTAACAATTAGTCTTATTTTAATTTGTATACCACCCTTCTCCTTTCAGACTCAGGGCGGTGAACAGCCAAAATAAAAACATTTGTACAAAAGTTAAAATAATTATTTAAAACAAATTAAATAGAATTTGGCCCATAATTTAAAACATATCAATTAAAATCAATATCAAACGCTAAAACCAACTTGGAATCAAGCCAGCCCGGCTAGCTGAAAAAAGTAAGTTTTTAGGGCCCGACGAAAAGTCCGGAGGTCTGAGATCACTCGTATCTCTGAAGGTAGATCGTTCCAGAGGGTAGGTGCCACCACAGAGAAGGCTCTCCCCTTGGGGGTCGCCAGCCGACATTGTCTGGCTGACGGCACCCTGAGAAGGCCCTCTGTGGGACCGAACTGGCTGGTGGGAAGCAATTGGTGGCAGAAGGCGGTCTCGTAAGTACCCTGGCCCTAAGCCATGGAGCGCTTTAAAGGTGGTCACCAACACCTTAAAGCGCACCCGGAAGTCCACTGGAAGCCAATGCAGCTCGCGCAGGAGAGGTGTCATGTGGGAACGCCCTGTCGCTCCCATAATCCCCCACGCGGCTGCATTTTGCACCAGTTGGAGCCTCCGGGTGCACCCAAAGGGAGCCCCATGTAGAGAGCGTTACAATTAGATGGCTATTGCTTCAGTTACTATTTGGAAACTGCAACAATTGAATTTGAAAGGATATCTCTAAAATTTGATGAAGAAACTATATGAGAATAAGGCAAGTTCCCAGAATGCATTATGCAAAAAGGTTTCTTCCTAAAATGTCATGAGGTTTAAAGATGGGACCTCATTGTTTTGTGTGGATGAGTGGGTAGGTGTTCAGGGGCAGAACCATGAATATTTTATTGGACAAAATCAACTCATTCAATATTCAGAATCTCCAATTTATTTAGAATATGAATCAGAAGAATATGTAATATATTTTCATTTGGGGAGAGGTCATTTGAAATTAGTAATATTTAGCAAATTGCAATTTTAAAAAACTTCATTAAACTAGATGTAGCTGGAGTAATGAAAAATAATGCTAAAGAAATCCATTTTCATTCTAAAAATACAGTATGGAATAATAACACAGAAGAAATCAATATTAGTGCTAAGAATAGAATATATTCTTAATTAACATCTAGTATTAGCTTTCTGATTTAACAATTTCCATATACAAAGCATGGCAGAAAAAGAATTACAAATTTCCTGCAAAATGACTCCATTAAATTAAAATGCAACATGTTTTAACTTCACCTTTAGTTTTCACCTTTAGTTTTCTAACAAAACTAACAAAATCTTAACATGAATACTGGACATTTACATTTACATCGTACAAAAGAAGAATGCTTTAACAATATCTAGTGAAATAATGAATAGGTGAGTGCCGTATAAATGTTTTAATTAACTGATATAAAAATTAGTATTTTACAAATTTGTTGAAAATATCTGAAGTATAAAAAGATACAGTACATATAACAATATGGAAATGATATTTGACGTCAGAATATTCTCTAGGCATGCATTAGAAACATTCATGTGTCAATAGAGCAAATAAGGAAATGAAATCTTGTATTGGTGTTTGATTTAATTACAAATTAATTGCTTCTGTAAATTTTCTTTCCTCAGGGATACCATTTACCTGGAAATGACAATTCATAAGTGTATTACATTTCAGAAGCTAATATAGTTTTAAATTATAGGATAATTGTGATGAATCTGGACCAGATTTAATAAACAACTGATATATTGAACTTGTTCTGTTTAACTTCTGCATAAAGTTAAAATAGTGAATATTTGGAATGCATACAAATATAGACAAAATAAGGACAAAATAAAGATGGAATTTGTAGCTCTTCAGGTGTTCCTTATTACTGGTCATGCTGCCTGCAATTGCTGGAAACTAGATTAGCAACACAAGAAGAGTTTAGATTCTTCTTTTATCACTGTTTTTCACCAGGTAGGGAAAAAAAGCAATACTAATGTAATACTTGCCTCCAATCTTTGAAATGTTGTCATGCGAAATTCTCCTTTAGTCCCCGAAAGCAGTAATAAAAATAAATAAATTGAATATAGATCTCCCACAAATGAATTCCTGTCATAATTTTCCAGAGGGATGGCCTTGATAAAGTTTTTTGCAGCATAAACTAGAGTGTTGTGGCACCTTGAAGACTAATGTGATGAACACTTTACAGTAGCATAGATATTTGAGTTTTAACATCAATTTATCAGTTATATGAAGTATCCAACCTGACGACTACCAAGCCAATGGGCTGCTTTAAATAGATTATACTGTATAACAGCTTAGCATAAAGTACTTTTTAAAATATTACTCTCAATTTCTTCTTCCTAAGTGAATCTTCTATCTAGTTTTTGCCATTCATGAAGCATGTGCAAAATGTTTCACATAAACCTTTACTTGAGGAGCACAGATGGATTCAGGTAGTTTTCCCAGACCAAAATTGAGATGTTTTCCTTCATGCGTAGGATGAAATGGGAGTTATTTTGTTCCAGGGAACAGCCAATAGAAATCCCATAACAGTAGTTTACAAGATATTGGGGGTGGGGGGAGGCATTCAGAAGATCAAGAGAACGAGCAAGCGTATGGAATATATGCCATATTGGGATATTCTGTGCAGCTGAAAGGAGGGAGGGAGGGTACTAGTGGGATTGGGGTTGGTGAGGCATTGGCAGCCGCTCAAGCAAGAAAGGCCAGGAGTTGGTGAGTGAAATATGACAACTGGGACACACACAGACAAAAGACGAGGTGATTTGCATAAATATTAGACCCATCTGGATTTTGTTTTGTCCAAATTCTTGAAAAATAAGTGTTCCAGGTTTTGGCTTTGCCAAGTCATACCTGACCTGAAATGGTCCAGGTTCAAAATAAAAACATTTTCTTTGTGGTCTGCATAGCCCAAAGCTTAATTTATTTGCCTGTCTCCAATTTTTAGACAGAAATTAGAAACAACCAACAATTCTATGTTAATATAACTGCATTTAAATTCATTTTGATAATTAACAATAATACAAATCTCCCCATCTTTTCTCATTCTGCTCTGTGAATGATGGTCCAAGAACTAATCCAATACTGGATTAAAGAAAAAAAAAAGATTGTAATAAGTCTGTACAGTAACAGGGATCTGCAAAATCTCCTGCATAATGTATTCATGCAATCCATAGCCCATTTTGGATTATTTGAAACATATACTTCTGTTGCAGACAGAATCCAGGGCAGGACTGGTTGAATCTAGATGCAGTCCAAAATGTTATAGTCTCTCACAATTTTTGAGTGTTCTCTTCTGTTCTAGCTATATAGTTAGATGTGATGCTATCTTTCTTTTGGGTGTTAATCTGTTATATTTTGAATGCTTCAGTTTGGACCAACAGAGAGGAGGTAATCTATTTGTCCTGGTTTAAGTTGGATGGTGAGGTGATCTGGCTGGAGCTTTGGAGAAAAGCAGTAGGCATTCCATTCTTAAACAAATGGTGACTAAAGGGTGAACTACAAAAGAAGAAATTGCTACAAGGGATCTTGACTAGACTGAGTTTTTTCTTCAAAGGGGTAATATTCTGGCCAGCAGCAGACCAGATAGCCCAGGCTGAAAAAACAGTGGATTGTTTTTTCTATCATACTTTGCTTTGGCTGCCCAGAATGTTTGCTACTGGTTTCTTGTACAGATTCTTGCATGAAAATTGGACTCCCAAGTTGGTGAATTAATGTCATATGGTTTTCAAATGATAAGCTGATGTAATGTTGAAATTGCATTAAAGCTGTGTGTTCATGCATATGTACTACTATTCACAGACAAGACATGAAAACACAAAAAGTACCAGTACTGATTGCTTTGGTTAACTTGCTACTTAGGTGATTCAATATATGTGTATTCTTAGTTCCTTCTGGGGTTGAGATTCTAGAGTCTTTGTATATGTAAATCAGGTGTCAAATCCAGCGGGTTTGACGGGTTCTGGAGAACTAGTAGCAGAAATTTTGAGTAGTTAAGAGAGCCAGCAAATGCCACCTCTGGCTGGACCCAGAGTTGGGTGGGAGTAGAGATTTTGCAATATCTTTCCCCCAGGAGCAGGGAGAGAATGGGGATTTTGCAGTATCCTTCTCCTAGAGTGGGGAGGGAATGGGGATTTTGCAGTATCCTTGCCCTGGAGTGGGGTGGGAAGGAGATTTTGCAGTATCCTTCCCCTGCCACACCCTCCAAGCCACACCCACAGAACTCGTAGTAAAAAAATTTGAATTTCACCACTGATGTACTTTCACCTTCAAAGATATTTTGGAATCTCCACAATCAACAAAATGATATTCACAGCTAAACTCAACAAGACATCATCAATGTATTGAGTTTTTGCTATTACTGTTATTATTGCTGCTGTGAACCCAATAACCTACATGGCTCCTAGAACTGGGTATTCTATAGATCAGTAGAAAATATGAGACTTGTTCTGAATCCCATTCTAGAAATACCTGTTTCGTTTAACCAAACTAGGAGGAAACAACTCTTTACAAATTTTATTTAATCTGAACTACAGTTATATTGAAATGGGGTTGTCAGAACTTCTGAAACACAGTATTTTGTATGACTCGACACAACTTCCATTTTGTGTAAATTTCATTTCTTTATAACCTGGCTCATTTATTTTTATTTAAAAAAACATAAAAAATCACCTTCTGTTTGCTGCTGAGGAATCTGAGTCTGATGAGGAAGGTTCCTATAAATAATAATTTTTAAAACTTAATATGCTATTATGTTTGTAAACAATAAATGCCATTGTTCTGCCTTGTTATGTAATTTAGAATCCATAAAAATAAAAATGCAAAAAGACTGCATTTATTTTCACTGTAAGGTAGTTACACTAGCAGGATTTCTCTAAATGCATATATATATATATGTGTGTGTGTATGTATGTATATATATGGCAGAAAATAAACCATGTTATGTGTAAAAGGACATTAAATACATATTTCAGAAAATAACCCAATCGTAATTAAACCTCCAAACAGAAAAGGTTATATTGTACAATTGTTTGCTAATTGGGATTTATAAAAATGGCATTTTGAGTTATTTTGGCTATGATACCTGCTTTTATAAAGCAAAAATAAAGTTCTTTCAAAAATGGGAAAGCGTATGCTCTTGTGATCATTCTGCTGTCCTTTGCATTTCTTTTGGTCTATTATTTGTATACCATTTTTCCCTTTATCAATATGTTATCAATATTTGCCAGCAGCCAAGATATATATGCCAAATAACCCTATATCCTATGAAATCTAATCGCTTAAAGGTAATTTCACCCAATTTTTTTAGTTTTTACGATGCCAAAATTTATTGATTTTTTACAAACAGAAATTGTAAAATACTATCACCCATCTCCCATTAAAACTAGGATTAATCACACTAGCTATTCAAGTTAAGGGTCATTCTACTTGTAGGCAATAAGTAACTTTAATTTTAAAAAATATCCATAGCTATCTGTTGAAGAAGACTTATGAAAATCCCATGGGCAGTCAAGAAAACACACAAATGGGTCAAGAAACAATTCACCCTAATTTTTCATTCAAGGCAGAAATGACCAGGCTCTATTTATCCTACTTCAGATACATTATGTGAAGACCTAGCACTCTACAGAAGGATCTAATGCTGCAAGGTGGACAAAAAAAAAGAAGAAAAAGATAACCAGGTGCAAGGTGGATGGTCTTAGTTAAAATTGAATGCACGCTTGGAAATCTTGAATGACGGTATTAGGCACAGTTCATAGAGAAAATTTATCAGATTCTTAGGAATCTACACCGACTTAATGACACATAATAAATAAATTATCTAGGCTTATTAATTTATAATTTTAAGAAACTTTTTGTTTCTGGACTTTGCTCATTAACATTGCTAAAAAAAAATCACCAAATGGAATTTAGTATCACAAAATGATACATATTTATATTTAATATTGCCTCTATTGCCTCTCAATAAACCTAGCCTTATATCTATAAATGCCAAAAATGACTTGCTAGAGCTGGTTCTATGAAGCATACAATGGACAATTCTTGATATATCATTCAAGGTCCTGAAATATCTAAAACCTTTGGAGTAACTTATGTTTAATATGCTACATATAAAATTTTAATGAGCATAATTAAAGCTTCTCTTCCCAGAATATCTTTCCACTAAATCATATTTCATTTTCCATCTTGTGCTCATTTTGATCATTGTTCCCCATTACTGACATGCATGATTGTTGTGCAGCATTGGTGGTGCTACCTCAAATCGAATCAAAGAATAAATCACACTTGTTTTAAGACATTAACTAGTCAGACATCATATACCATAGATATTCTATCTGATAGTATAACTTACTGATGGCAGCTATGATTTATCTAAATATGATATGAAAATCTAAGATAGAGTGATGGGATTCAGCCGGTTCTGTCCAATTCGGGCAAACCAGTAGTGGTGACTGTGGGAGGTAGTAACGCACGATTACTGTGCATGCACAGTAGTGGGGCGCGCGAGCGTAGCAAGTGCACGAGTGCGTGCACTCACATTTGCAAACTGGTAGGGAAAGTAAGTGAATCCCACCTCTGCTACTGTAGGGAAATATTAGGAAAACTGTAAGTGTATATATGTTCTTTAATCCTTTTCTCATCCCTGGAAGTATCTCTGAGAAACATATTCAGTTCTTCTTCAGCTATAAATGATGTCTTAAAGTAGGAACTCATAAGCCTCTTGTCCGTTAGGTCACAGATGGCCCAACACCTGAAATCATCTGTTCTAAAAAGTAACTTACTAATTCAGCCCATTACACAGAGAGAGACGGCTTGTTGATCTTTGGGGAGCCATTCTCCGCTTCCTTCAGCAGGGACAGAGCAATAACTATCTCATGTTGTTTGTGGCCCTATTAACTGAATAACAATGTTAATTGTAACGTATCAATTTTTTAAAAAAACTCTGTAAGTTAGTGTTTCAGAAACAAACAAATAAATTACAAGAATTTGTTCTACATGCGGCTTTCCCATCTTCTGCACATTTTAGAAGAGCTGGAAATAAAATTCAGACGCCTCCGACATTCTGATAATGTACAGTTTCAACACCTGTAGGACCACAACTAGGCTGAAGACTTTGTCTTATCAAGTAATATTGTAATAATAGTTTTGTAGTAAAATAGATTACCAGAATTCAATTAAAATACCTCACTTCAAGCAATCTGTATTGATACTTACTGTTGTGTTTGCATCAGTGGCATGCTAGTATTGTCATAATTGTCTGGGTGAACAGGTGGTACAATCTCACCAGTGACTGGGTGAAAAACAGGAAGTGTTGAGAGTGGCCATGCTATCTCTCTGTTTTTTGCCATCTCTCGAAGTTCTTTTGTGGATTTCTGAATTGCACTGTGATGGACCAGCTGAATACTAAGTAAAAAGGAAACATTTTTTTAAATAGACCTTATTCTGAGTGCTGCAAAAAAATAATTTCAAACAAATTATTGTCAAATAAATTCAAAAGATATGATCCATATAAAAAAATTACTGGATGTTATTTTTAGGGCAAAGAAATTTTACGCAGGCATACATGAACCTATTAAAATTCAATTTACATTGCTTCTAGTTTGACTTTACTTCTTAATTCTATGGAAAACACACACACAGAGGAAATGACAATTGTCACAATTTCATAGCTATTTCCTCACGAAAATAAAGAAAAAGATCACAGGCACGCAAAAATTCAGAGGAAACTTCCTACTTCCTGTCGGCTTCCTCACTGAGTTTTCTTGTGGGAACTTATCAGTTGACATTGGAAATCTCTGTTCCTTTTCTCTCCCCTCATCTTTCTCCCTATTCCTTGTGTTCTTTTTCTCTCTTTACCTTCTCTCCATCTACTTTTTCTTCTCTGCAGGCAGGTAAGGGGCTGCTGCATATGGGGAAGGGATGGAAAAGTGTGGGGGGGGAGGGGACTATATGGCTGGTCGAGGATGCACCATTTCTTCATTGATTTTCTTCTACAAGCTTCCCATAAGTAAAGTGTCTCCTAGGAAAGGTGGCAAGGAGTGTTGACGATCACACCAGTTTCTTCTGGGTTCACCATGGACTTATGGGAAATTGCCAGGGAACAATGAAAATGAGGCTTCCATGCTACAGCTGACAGTGGAATGTGGTAACCCTGAATAGCAGCAGTGCAGCAGCACTGATGCAGCAACAAAATTCCTGAATTTTATTCCTTTGGGAGTTATAGGTCCTTGCATTCTGTAAGTTAGCCCATTTGGGGTAAACTTGTAGGCAAGGTTGTGATGTAGTGTTTTAGGGACGGTTACAAACTATCAAATAGACACTAGTTTTAATAGAATATAGATATATACACTCACTGAGAGGCAGTCTTCATTTAGCAATCATCCTTCAGTCATTAAGTGAAACAACTACTAAGTGAAACTGTGCTTATGATCTTACTTTAGGTTTCCTTTGTTTTATAGACCTGTGAAGGTTGCAAATGCAAGGATTGCTTGTAGAGTTACTTTTTCATCACCGTCATAACTGTGAATAGTTGCTAGATAGGATAGTCACTAAATAAGTACAACCTTATACCAAAATAATATTCAGTAATTTTTTGATATGCCTCAAACAAGATAGATAGATAGATAGATAGATAGATAGATAGATAGATAGATAGA